CTGGGGGATAGCAGTGAGTTCGTCCATATTGTCACTGTGTGTATAGGCAGCAAGTATTGTGTTCCAGGCGATGAGATCGCGTTCCTCCATCGAATCAAAAACGGCCTTCGCTTTCTCCAAATCCCCAGAACACGCAAGTGCAGTAAGAATTGTGGTAGAAGAAATGAGATTCCATTCTGGCATTGATTCATAAAGTGACTGTGCCTTGAGAAGAGCGTTGTTTGTGATGTAAGCAGCTATCATTGCGTTCCAAACAACAAGGTTGGTTTGCGGGATTTTGAAAAAGAGATGTTCCGCTTCATGGAGATGACCATGGATGGAAATATTGGAGAGAAAGACCAATGAGGAAGTGTCATTCAAGTCTATTAAGGATAGTTTCACATGAATTTGATGGGCTTGAGGGAGGGTGTGACAAGAGCAGATAGCTGTTTCAAGCTCCTGGCATAGTGATTTGCTTTTCTGCTCAGTCATCTGGTTAGATCATTATCAACCAAAAGAAAGTTTGCCATATATCTACTTGCAAATATGCCCCTTTATAGATTAACATTCAAATGTAACTTTTAGTGAAAGATGGTTATTTTAAATAAGAAAAAGCATTTTGCAACAAAAACTTTTATAAAAATTTAGGCTTTGTGAGGGCCAGGTGTATGGCTACGATGCCGTATACTAATATTAGCGTAGTGGGATTTTGGTAGCCGTCAGATTGGTTTCAATCCAGACCACTCACTCTTGTATATAAGCTAGGGTTTTTGGGTTAATTGATATGCACATTTCTATATTCCCTTTTCCATATTCCATGCACTCACATTGGTGGAGGTGAGGGGCACCTTTGATTGTCCCTGAAGAGTGATTGGATTTGGGATTTTAGTTTAGATCTAGTTTTTGCATCGTCTAGATTTAGCTTTTTCCATTTCCTTTCTTTTGTTCTTCCCTTTCAGGATTTTGCTTTAGATCTAGCTTTTTGGATTGTTTAGATCTACCATTTCTTTCTAGCTTTTTGTCATTTCTCTTCTTTTGCTTTTTCTTTTTCGTTCATCTTCATGGCAGATCAACAATCTCCTCCCTTGACTCTAGAGCAGTAGTTGGTTCAATTGCTTGATGCTATGTGCTTGCAATTGAACAACCAAACTCAATTGATGGTGGCATTCACGGCATGTGGTTCAACTCCTCCTGCTCTTGGTGCCAATCCTTGCGTTCGGCCGGAGTTCTTTTGTGGGAATCCTGAGGATGATGTATACCATTGGTTCGATCACTTCACAGTGATTGCCACATATCATTCTTGGGATGATGCTCGACGTTTGCGTGAGTTTCCCACGTGTCTCCAAGGGACGGTGTTGCAGTGGTACAATGGATTGAGCGTGGCCGCTCGTGGGGATTAGAGTGTTCTTCTGGACGTCTTCAAACGCGCCTTCGGATCCAACAATTGCATCGTCTTCGCCAAGGGCCATCTGAGTCAGTGATGCAATTTGACGTTCGTTTTTGAAATCTTTTGCTTCGTGCGGAGCCCAATATGTCAAAGCGGATCAAGTTAGGAATGTTGTGGCCAGCACTTCGTCAAGATCTTGTTGGACTTATGCATGCACTTGCTTCTGCTACCCTTGACGATGCTCTTCGCTTGGCACAACGTTATGAGACGTCGCTTCTTCCACTTCTCACTGCATGTCCTTCAGCTCCACTTCCTATGAGTGATGGTCTTGTTCCAATAGAGGTTGATGCTGTTACTACTCGAGTCCAAGGACAAGGGCGAGGACGTGGTCGTGGCCGTGATGTTTGTTACTGGGCGTGTGATGAAGTTAGTCATACTTATCGGTGTTGTCGGCGTTTTCCAGATTGGCGACCTCCATTTCCTAGGTGGAGACTTTGGTGTCATCAACGTCCCGTTGGTGCTGCTGCAGTGGAAGGTTTGGACACTGTGGTGCATCCGGGAAACGAGGAGTCACATGAGTAATGGAGGGACCTTGCGCGAATAAGTTAGTGACCTTTTCATTTTTCTTTCGGGAGTATCATCAAGGGGTTCACTCGGCACCGGTTCATCCCGTATTTACTTTCCAAGCTCGTTTTTATAACAAGAGGTCTCCTATTATTCTCTCCGTGTTGGTTGATACAGGTTTGAGTTTATCTTTTATTGCTCGACCTGTTGCCACACGTTGTCATCTACACTTGCGTTGTGCGGCGGACCCAGTTTTCATTCTTTTTATGGCAACGGCTGTACACATGCATGTGCACGAGATGAGGCAGACTTGATTGTGTGTGTGGACGATCTTGAGCTTGAGCTGCAGTCGTTGCGGGTGATGCCGAGTCAAGCTTTTGACCTCATTCTTGGTATGGATTTGTTGCAGCGCAATCATGCCAAGTGTGACTTTGAGGCTTCTCCCCCTTGTCTCATACTTCCTTATGTTTCATCCATTCCTCTCACTTCTGTACCTTTTCGTCCCTTTACTTTTACCTCTGCTTCCATTACTTTTGTTCCCCCACTATTTCCTCCTGTGTTTCTATCTTGTTCTGCTCTTCCCTTTTCCGATCCCTCTGACGATCTTTGTGTTGAAGCTGTTGACCGACTGATGAAGGAGTATTCTGATATCTTTGAATTTGACCTATCGTCTGGGGCCAAGATTGCCACACGTCATCCCATTCCAACTGGGGATGCTCGTTCAATCAAGGTTCCTGTTCATCGTCGGTCACCCAAGGAGATCAAGATTTTACGTGCAAACGTCAAGGAGATGTTGGAGAAGGGTGTTATTCGGAAGTCGCGAAGTCCTTGGGCATGTGAACCTCATCTGGTGACGAAGCCTAATGGGAGTATTCGTTTTTGCATCGACTATCGTCCGTTAAATGAAGTGACGATCCCGGATGTGTACCCTCTTCCTCACACTGCTGATCTCTTGGATCATCTGGGGCGAAGTCGTTAGTTCACCAAGTTAGATCTTGCTTCTGGGTACTGGCAAATACCGATGGCCGAAGAAGATATTCCTAAGACTGCTTTTCGTACACCGTTTGGTTTGTACGAGTTCTTGGTGATGCTGTTTGGTTTGAATAATGCTCCAGCGACTTTCCAGCGGATGATGGACGAGGTTCTTTGTGATATGCCAGAGGTGACTGCTGACTTCATTGATGATGTTTTGATTCACTCGAAGGGGACATGGGAGGAGCACATTCATGATGTGTGTAAAGTGTTGGATCGGCTACGCAATGTTGGTTTAAAGCTGAAGCGGTCGAAGTGCGTGTTTGGCTCCAAAGACACAACTTATCTTGGGTACTGTATTTTTCGTGAAGGTTTACAAGTTGATCCTAACAAACTTGTAGCTGTTCTAAAGTTCCCTACTCCGAAGTGTGTGAATGATGTGCAGCGCTTCCTAGGCAAGGTGCAGTATCTCGGTCGTTTTATAGATCATCTTTCTGATCGCACTGCACCGTTGCGAGCATTGCTGAAGTCGTCAACATCATCTTTCATCTGGTCTTTAGATTGTGAGCGGGCGTTTGTGGATCTCAAAAAGCTTTTAACGACTCCTCCGGTTTTGGCATATCCTGACTACACTCAACTTTTTATTTTGTGCGTCGATGCTTCTGATATTGGTCTTGGAGGTGTATTAATGCAAGAAAGCCTGAGTGTGCTTGGTCAGCATCATCCCATTGCATATATAAGTTGTACGTTACAACTAGCAAAGGTGAACTACTCCACGACAGAGAAGGAGTGTTTAGCGGTAGTTTGGGGTTTCGAGAAACTTCATACATATCTACATGGTTCTCGGACGTTACTTGAAGGTGACCATGCTGCCGTTACTTCATTATTGAAGCGGAAGAACCTAGTTGGTTGTACTGTTTGGTGGGCTTTGAAGCTTCAGATATATGATTTTGATGTTGTTCATCGCCCAAGGAGTTTTATGGCTGATGCTGATGCCCTTTCTCGAGCTCCTCTTCCTCTTCCACTCTCTTTTCATATTTCTGATGAGTCTGTTATTCCAGCATCTGTGGATTTTCTAGACGAGGATTCTGTGCCATCAGCGGTTGTTGTACTTGACGTTCAGTGTCCTCAAGGCACAGAACAAGATCTACCTTCTCTTGATGAGGTTCGCGAGGGTCAAAAGATTGAGCTGTGGATTCGAAGGCTTCGAGATGCATTTGAGAATCCTACATCACTTGCTGATGACTTGGCTTTTCGGCATTTACATTCTCAATATCGCCTTAAAGATGGTCTTCTTTATTTTGTGGGGACAGATCCTGATGATCATTTACGGCTGGTGGTGCCTTCTGTCTTTATTCCGTGGTTTCTCCATGCCTACCATAATTCTCCTGTTCTAGGTGGGCATATGGGACATCGTCGGGTGACCGAGAAGCTGCGCAGGTCTTTCTATTGGCCGGAGATGCAACGTGATGTTATCTGGTATGTGCGTAGTTGCGTTTGGTGCCAAGCTCATAATACTCCCCTTTGTGCTGCAGAAGGACGATTGGAGTCAATTGTAGTTTCCCGTCCGTTTGAGTTGGTGGCATTTGATCTTATAGGACCTTTTCCATGGTCGACTACTGGCAATGAGTATATTATTATTGCTTTTGACTACTTGACTCATTGGGTGGAAGTTGGTGCTCTTGCTAGCGCCTCTGCAACTGCTGTTGGATACTTCCTCCTCAATTGAGTGGTGTTCCAACATTCTTGTCCAGAACGGATTCTTTCGGATAATGATCCTGCATTTATAGCTGAGGTATTTCATATTTTAACGTCTCAGTTGGGGATATACCACACTTTCACGAGTGCTTATCATCCACAATCAGACAGTCTGGTGGAACGGTTTGTTCGAACATTCAAAGGGATGATTGCGAAGTATATGAACTTTCAGCATTCGGGTTGGGATAGTTATTTGCCGTCTCTTCGGTATGCTTATCTCACAAGGGTGTAGAGTTCTGTTGGTGCTTCACCATATAAACTCCTATATGGTCATGATCCAATATTACTAACGGAGCTGGGTTTACCTTTGCGATCTCTTTTCAAAAGCCCGTGTAATGAGCTATGGAGAAATCTTCCGCAGGAGAGAGACGATGTTGTCACAAGCAATCTTCTCCACTCTCCCATTCTTCCACTTCGAGCAAGCAGCCAGCAAACTCGTCCAAGTGACCATTGTGGCTTCGAACGGCATAGCTTCCACCATCTCCAGAGCTTCCTCGAGCTGCTTTGCTCGTCCGAGCATGTCGATCATGCAGTGGTAGTGCTCAATGCCTGGATCTAATCCACACCTAGACGTCATCTCCTGGAAAAATTTCTTGCTCGATCATCCCAGCCCGGCTGCAAGTCGTGAGCACCGAGACATAAGTTACACCGTCCGGCTTGACACCCTCGTCACACATCTTCTCAAAGAGCTGGATCACTTGATCGTTGTCTCCCTGGCGGCTGTAGCCCGCGATAAGTGAGCTCCAAGTCACAGCATCCTTCCTCGAGACCGAGTTGAAAACCAGCTCCGCTTCATCCATGCTCCCACATCTGCTGTAGAAATCTACCAACGAAGAGATCACGGCTCCCTGGAACTGGAACCCCAAGCTCGTGATCTCTTCGTGAAGTATCCGGCCAAGCCTCATGGCTACTGAGCTTCCACAAGCTTTGAGCACGCAAACGAGCGTCCACACGTCTGGAGAACATCCCTCGAGCTGCATTAGCAAGAAAAAATGTAGCGCTGTTTCGGCCTGGCTGTTTTCAACGTACCCGAGCATCAATGCCGTCCAGCAGACTTGATTTGGCTGGAAAATGGTGCTAAACACTCCAAGAGCATCGCCCATGCTGCCACAAGCCGCGTACATTTGGATCAAGCAGCTGTGAAGAAAGATATCCAAGCGATGGTTAGCAATTCGCAAGGCTTGCGCGTGAAAAGCCATACCTCTTTCCAGAGACTCCAGCTTGAGTATCCTTCCATGGATAGTTTCTTCTCCTCGTTCCCTCTTTGCTAAAGAAGTGATGGCCTGGAACACCGCAACAAAGGTTCTGGCATTTGCTCCACTGCTTTCTCGTTGCATTTCCACGAAGAGCTCAAGCACCACCTCGCTCTGCCCATTCTCTACAAAACCCTGCATCAAAGAAGTCCATAGAACTACGTCACGCTTTGGAGCTCCATGAAAAACCTTCCACGCATCCACCACGCTTCCACACCGAGCATACATTTCCACCAGGCTGCTAGCTACCAAAGCGTTTGTGTCGATTCCCCTTGCAGTGGCAAGGGAGTGAAGAGCCATTCCTCTCTCAAGAGAAGAAAACTTCACGACGAGCTCTAGATCTTCTAAAACCTTCCCATTCTCCTTCTCTGCGAGGCTCGCGCAGGCCTTGAGCAATCCAATAAACGTGACAGAATTCCCTTTCAAGCCCCGCGATTCCATGTCCAGGAAGAGCTGGAGCGCAACCCCGCCATGCCCATTCACGGCATAGCCCAGAATGAGAGAATTCCACGCGACGAGGTCGGGGCAATTCATCCGGTCGAAAGCCCTGCGCGCCTCGTCCATGCAGCCGCACTTGCCATAGAGATTCACCAGGCTGCTCGCCACGAACGCATTGGAATCGAGGCCGCAGCACTCCGCCTCGGCGTGGATTTGCTTACCCCAATCCAGATCCCGGGATCGCGAGCATTCCTTGAGCGACGCAAGGAATCTCCTCACCTCGCAATCGCTGGAGTGGGCGCGGTCAAGCTTGGAACGGAAAGATCGAGGTCGGGAAGTGGAAGAACTAGGACTCATTTGATTCTTTATATTAAACGGAACCCATGTCTTATAAACGATCAATAAAATATTCGCGGTCCGTACTAGATTTTGATTTGATTGCATTTTATGTTACCATATAAAAGGGCCCTTTAGGATTCACACAATCAGGGTTTAATAGCAGTGATCGAGAGCGTGGACAAGAAGGCTAGCGCTGTGGCGGCGATGAAGAAGGGAAAGAAGAGGCAGCGAAACAAGGAAGGACAAGTTGATACCAAGATTAGTGCTCCAAAGAGAAGGCGTGAGCTCCAGGAGGAGCCTCCCATGGTCCCCAAGAAAAGTCCGAGCAGCAAGGTAGTATACAAGATTGATGGGTTAGTTATCACTTCCCACAGTGATTTTCATGACTTTTGGCCACGATCGGCATCCAAGCTACTGGCACCGGACTTCCTCCACTGTGCTAGAGCTCAAGAGCTTCACAGCCTCCTCACCCAAGAGCTCTGCAGCAGAGACCGTGACGATTGTGCCCCAAAGAACGCCCAGCTCTTGGTGGTGATTGGCGGGACGAGATGCCACATGATGAGGCGCCTCGAGGATTTGTGCCACTCGACTAGATGTGCTGGAGACAAGATCTGGTATGGAGTCCAGATTAAGGAAGGTGGAAGCTTGTCCACGCTGTTCAAGTATATGTTTGATGGGAGGAGCGCGAACATGAGCCGGGACATGTCCAAGGAAATCCATGCCAAGGATTGCACAAACAAGACAAACAACATGATTCAAGAGATCCTCTCCCATGTCTCTGGGAACAAGTGCAACAGTTACTTCTCTCCAATCCGTGTGGAGAGCGTCCACCATTGACTGTAAGAATCACTCCTGTGATTAAAAGTTTTAGAGTACATCAAAATGGAGAACAATTAAAAGTAGCGTGTTATTCCTCCCGATCGACATTGGTTTCGCTTCTTAAATTCCTGGTGCATTGCTTCACCAATATTGGCTGGCGATTCTATAACCGTGACATCCACAGATTGATTTTGTCCTGGGCCGTGCCTGGAGCGATGACTGAAATATCTAAGGGGCGTTAGTCCTTAATGGGTATGATTCTCGTTTTGGGTGCGAGAGGTCGCGAGCCCGATTCTCACAACGCCCCTGTATTTTCAACAAATGCGAAATTCCGTGCTCGGCCTTGGTATATACCCGGCCTTGGTATATACCCATAGCATAGCTTCCCACCTCACTGCTGCTGGTTTTGTTAAAGAGATGACAGCATCGGTTAAGCTCCTTGCAGCGCTATATGCTCCGATCATCACTGTCCAGGAGATGTCCTTGCAGTGTGACAATCCATCAGAGACTTGTTGCGCTTGATCTGTCTCGCGCCTCTCTGCATAAAATTTAAGCATTGTGGTGCTGGAGACAAGATCAGCTTCAGTCATGCGATGGAAGATTTGTTCTGTGGTGTGAGAATCCCCAGATCGTGCATATGCTGACAGAATTGTGTTCCACGAGACAATATCAAGTTCTGGCATCTGCTGGGGGATAGCAGTGAGTTCGTCCATATTGTCACTGTGTGTATAGGCAGCGAGCATTGTGTTCTAGGTGATGAGATCACGTTCCTCCATTGAATGAAAACCTATTCTCCAAATGCCCAGAACAAGCAAGTGCAGTAAGAATTGTATAGAAGAAATGAGATTCCATTCTGGCATTGATTCATAAAGTGACTGCCTTGAGAAGAGCGTTGTTTTGTGATGTGAGCAGCTATCATTGTGTTCCAAACAACAAGGCAGGATTTTGAAAAAGAGATGTTCCACCTCTGATACCAATGTTATGATCCGGCGCAAAAAGACAAAGATCTAGTTGCCCTAGACTATATTATGCCACCTCTTGAGGTTCCTCACCACCCAACCACCCCCGAATTACCTCAAAAGCTCCACTGCGCCGCCATTCCATTGTGAGCCCTATGTTAGGGTAACCTTCATGAAGATGACCATTTGTGACATCATCACCCAGGGGAAGCAGTTCTTGGTGACAATTCTGCAAAAATATTTGTAAGCATGATTGATCATCCAAATATCTAGATGGAAATGTTGGAATGGAAGCCTAATAATGACAAGAGTGGGTAGCAATTTGATTTTCTGCTCAGTCATCTTGTTAGATCTAATGAAAATGAATTTTACTATATCTCCACCTATAATATCCTTATAGGAATTTAAGTGAAATGCAGTTAATTTTCAATTGCAATTCTTTTAAGATAGATAATTGAAAGATGATTATTTTAAAATAAGAAAAAGGAATAAAATAATTTGGCAATACAAATTGCATAAAACTTTTATCTAAAAAATGTGAGTGCATGGAATATAAAAATGAAATAAAAAAATATGCATATCAATTGGCCCAAAAACTTTAACTTATATATAAGAGTAAATGGTTCAAATTAAAACCAATTTGATGACTATTAAAATCCTGCTATACTAATATTAATATATAGCATTGTAATTATACACTTGGCCCTCCTCTTAGAATGATGGAAAACAAATCAAGGTTTTGTAGTGGAGGGGCTGGGATTTAGAGGAATTAGTGTATTTGTATGTGGTGTCAATTGTTCTTGGTCCTTTTATATAAAGTGTTTTAGTTGTTGCATATGCACAATTTTTGGAGGATTGACTTATTGAATGTCATGTTAAACCTCATAAATTTGTGGTCCAACTTGTCGCAGCACCTGATATAGTCCCTTTCACTGAGCAAGGAACTCTTTATGCAAACCACCTACCATAAAATTGGGAAAGTGGACTAACACTACGTCATCCATTTTATACTCTACAGGTGAATGATGATGAGAGTTATAATGCTATTGTTATCCTAGTTTTACACAACCTAAATGTTTGGTAGACTTTGCTTAGATAAGTTGAAGAATGCTCATAAAATACCAATCCTAAGACTTACTCATGAGAATTGCAAAGGTAAACTCAACTTTGTATATAAGAGTTTATATGGTGAAACACCAATAAAAACTCTACACCCCTGTGATATATATACACTAATAAAACGGCAAATAACCATCTTAATCCAATGTTGAAAGTTTACATACTTTGTGATCATCCCTTTAAAAGTCTGAATAAATTGTTTCACCTAACCATTTGATTATGGATGATAAACACTTGTGAAAGTAAACCGAGACATGAAAACGTGAAAAGCCTCAACCATAAATGCAGGACCATTATCCAAAAGAATTTGCTAGGGACAAGAATGTTGGAACACCACTAAATTAAGAAGGAAGTATTTAATAGTTGCAAATACACTAGCAAGAGCATTGACTTCCATCCAGAAAATCAAGTAGTCAGCAGAAATAATGATATATACTCATTGTCAATAGTTGACTATGGAAAAGGCCCTATCAAATCAAATACCACCAACTTAAATAAACAGGAAATTATAATTGATTCCAACCATCCTTCTACAACATAAGGGGGAGTATTGTGTTCCTTTCATATCTCCTCTAAGTGGATCAAGACATCATTGATGAAGTCAATAGTGACTTCCGACATATCACAAAGAACTTCGTTCATCATTCGTTGCAAAATTGTTAAAACATTGATTGATGTCTGGCTAGTCCAATTTGCTCCCGTTGGGTTCGACCCGAGGGGTAAGGTGTCAAGAGAGTGGGGCTCTCGAGAGAGCTGTGGCTCTTAGCTTCTGTTCACAAGGGCGTGAACTTGCAGAGAAGCGTGGTGGATTATAAGCAACCAAAGAAAATGACTTAAGAGACGATCCATGGGGTTCAAATATAAAAGGAAAGGGCCCATGAACAAGAGTGCACCCCCTTTTCCAATCGGTTAAGGGTTTTAGAATACTTGGGGTTATACGTCTTTGAGTTTGAATAGTACTAGGCTGGATGACCTCCCGGGAAGTCTAAACTCGGGAGTTTACACCTAGGGGGTTTGGTGAGCTCCAAAAGAATAGTAGGGGGAGGACTCTAGTGGAGCCAGTTTGGCCAGGAAAGGCTAGTGTGATTAAGGGAAGCTATACCCACGTGGTGGGTGATAATAAAACCATTAAGGAGTCCAAAACTAGAGTGAATCAGATAGACAAGTGAGGTAGCTTGGTAAAGTGTTCAAGAGCTGGCTCTAGCTCCCCCGAGAGATCAAATGGTTGATGCTCCCAATTCAAGTGTGGGTGGCACTACTTACTTGGATACCTGGCGTGGCTTAATGGAACCTCATGGGCTTAGTGAATACAGACAGACAAGTGAGGTAGCTTGGTGAAGTGTTCAAGAGCTGGCTCTAGCTCCCTTGGGAGATCGAATGGTTGATGCTCCCAATTCAAGTGTGGGTGGCATTACTTATTTGGATACCTGGCATGGCTTAACGGAACCTCACTCTAAGCCCATGGCTAAAGCACCCAAAGGTAAAAGGTGGGGAGAGTACCCATGAGGCTCACATAGGGCCATGGTGTTTCGAAATGTTGTTCGAAAGCCTCAGACTATAGGAAAGAAGAGGAACAGTCTTCTAATATAGTGACCAAGGATACAGTCACATGGTGAGGAAGTCCTAGAAGATAGTGGGACTTAGTGGTCGGGCCTTTGAGCCTTAACCCAGTGGCGGTGTTGGCAAGCATGGCCGTGGATGAAGAGGGACTTGGTAGGGACGGAAGAAGGGACATTGGGGAAGGGTGTTTCCCATGCCTCTAGGCATCTTAAAGGTGCTAGAGCGTGCTTAAAGGATGACCACTCGTGGATGGATAGCCTAGTCTTTGAGAGACAGGACTGTGATGTAGGTGGTGTTGGATCACCAATGTGACAAAGGTGAATGGGCATGGCTTTAGCGTAACGGGCTAATACATCAATGGTACCTTTGGGTGTCAGTCAGGGGATTGGACACGTGGAGCACTTGGACCAGGTGCAAAGTATGAGTGGCATGGATGCCATTCTTGGGGCTAGCAAGCCTCAAGTCCAAAATAGGACTTATGGAGGTTGTGAGGTGTGGTTAAGGGAGTAAAGTAGAATGGAAAATTTAGTCTCCTACAATGTGGTATCGGAACTATTCTTT